AATTTGTGACAGCCCGTGAGCCCGAGCTCTTCACCCATTTTTTATTTTTTTCTGTCAGGTGCGTGCACCCCACTCGCGCGTGGGGGCGCGTCGCCCAACACCTTTTTAGAAAAATCAGGCGCCTTTTGCAGTGTCTCAATTACCGTTGGGAAGCCACGTGGCTTTCCACGGTCCATCCCAACGGCTCCTTCATTTGAACCGTTGGATCTCAACGGTAAAAAAAATAAAACAAATCTTATTTAATATCAACCGTTCGATCTGAGATCAACGGTCGATATTAATATGCTTTATAAATAAAGAAAAAATAGTTTTAAAATTAAGAAAAGTTACCGTTGTGAAACGTGGCACAATCTGGAGTGTTGGAATTCAAATTTTTTTAAATTCAACGGCAAAGATTAATTATTTTAAAAAAAAATTAAAAAAAATGGAAAAAATCGGAAAAAATTGTAAAAAATTTGTAAAAAATTGTTTTTACTTTTCTATAAATACTACTTCTTCTCCATCTACCTTACACCACAATTTCATATTTTCTCAACCGCTTTCAATCAAATTCCTATCTTTATCTCAAAGTTTCAATCCAATTTTTTTTCCACAAAATGACTACTGATGCAGGTACGAATTGGTCGTTTATCGAAATCGATATCCAATAATTATCTTTTCGGATAATGACACGTGGCGTAATTTTGAACGAGTTAAAATCTGATCGAAATCTATCGTCAAAGATTCTCAAAAGATAACGACACGTGGCACGATGACATTGGATAAAAATCTTATTGAAATCCATCACTAAATAATTGTTTTTTTATAAAATGACACGTGGCGCATCGAGAACGATTTAAAAAATCTTATCCGAAATTACAAATAATTTTATTTTGTATTATTTAAACAAAAAAAAAACTAATATTTTATTGCCTATTGCCAGGAAGGAGGGCTCCAAGGGTGGAGATGCAAATGACAATTACTGTTTATTAATGGCAGTTACTATTCATTAAAGACAGTTACTGTTAAAAAATGTGGATTCAATAGTGGATTGCCAGGGGGATGGCTCTATGGGTGGAGTTGCTTTGAGTTCAGACGTGGTTGGGCTGCCAAGTTGCCAAAACTTCATGAATTATGACCCTACTCCTATATTCTTTTTTATGGATTGAATTATAGGGTGCACCTGTATTCTTGGCGGTTGATAGTCAGCTTCATTCACAAAAACATAACATATGTTTGTTTTGATCTTATTAAACTTCACACATTCTTCTCGGTATGAAATTTGTCATAATTAAGTCTTCTCGAATCACAAAAAAAAAAAAAAAAAAAAAAAAAAAAAAAAAAAAAGCCCCTATGTAATATGATCCAAATCGAAGGGGAATTTTGTACCTCATACTTGACGGATTGACGGATTGAGTAGGTGGTTAAGTGGAGACAATATCAATATTGTTGGAGTGGACCTATAACCTGTCTATCTGAAATTTAAGAGTTTTTAACTTAAATTTCGTGAAAGACGAGTTTAATATTTACTTGATCAAAATTATAAGGCATACGAATGCTTCGAAAATGAATTTGTATGTCTAGTCGACGTAAGAAATTTGGGAAAAGCCAAACTAGTAGTGTTAGATATTGACATCCAACCATATATCCAATCCCTGCTTTCCTCCGAGCTTCGTCTTTCCCAAATTCGAAAGTGGAATAAAAGCTCCCATGCCCCCGTTAGCGCTTTGAAATTTGATCCCACACGCCAACATTTATTCAAAGGAATCAGATTCCATTGCCTTATTTGCCTTCGCGTTTATTTAACACTCCAATTCTGACGGGGAAAATTTTAACAATGTGACTGTTTTAATTTACTCCCCAAACTTTTAATTTGGTTTTGAGCTCTCTAAATTTCAATTCGTGCCAATATCTCCAAACGGTCAATTCCATTTCGCCACAATCTTTTGTCAATTTCTTAATGTGCAGTGCACATGATCAACTTTAAGAGCATCTACGTTAACAAAATGTGGTATACAAAAAGAAAACTAATGAAGATTTGGAAGTCTGGTCGCTGAGTTTCGAGAAGAAGTTAAGATGAAATGAAACTTAGGTATATTCGGAATTTCTATAAAATAATTAAAAGAGTTTCTGATCATGTTTGACACAAAATATTAACATATTTATAGGCACATAAATTTAGTGTTTTATGTTTATGAAATATACACTTGCCACGTTCTTCTTTTCGAAATCAGTAGCATTTTTACAAAAGCATTTCAAACGAGCTCAAAATTAGACTAAAAGTTGAAAGAACTTAAGAGCAAGTTCACCCCTCCTTTGGAAGCTGACCTAAGTCTCAAAAAATAGGCTGGCACCCCAAAAACCCACTCCACCCCACAAAATAGACCGGCCCAAAGTCCACCCTAGTCTCTAGGCCGGCCCAGAATGGGCTGAGTGAGGAACCGACCTATCTAACATCATGCTGACGTCAGCTACGATTGATTATTTTTTTGCGGCTAGCGTGTGTGATACTTGCACGCGTGGGCTCTCATTCAAAACTTAAAACAAAATGTCAAAATCTCACCGTGGGCCACGTGTCCACTTTTGGGCCGTTGAATTTCAACCTTTTTGAAATCGAACGGTCCAAATTAATTAACTTAATAAAAATTATAAAAAAATGTTTAAAAATATCGACAAAAATTAAACGATATTATATATATATAAATACCTAACCATCTTCTGCAAAAATTGTACTTTCGGAAAATGACACGTGAGGTGATAAGATTGGTTACAAATTCTATCAGAAATTAAAAATAATTTTTATATAAAAAAATTAAGAGTAAATTGTAGCCATAGTCCTTTAACTTTAACTCAATTGGAGCAATGGTCCCTCAACTAAAAATCCATTACCATTGCTCTCTCAACTCATCAAAACGTACAGCTATGGTCCCTCAACTAAAAATTCATTACCATTAGTCCCTCAACTTTAATTCAACTGGAGAAATGATCTCTTAACTTTAACTTAATTGTAGCAATGATCCTTCCAACATAACTCGTTTTGACAAATTTTTTGACGTAGTTGACGAAAATGACCATAATTACACAGTTTGATGAGTTGAGGGACCATAATTATATAAATGGTTATTCCAATATAACTTATTTTGACAAAATTTTGACGAAATTGATGAAAATGACTATAGCTACACATTTTGATAAGTTGAGGGACCAATGGTAATGAATTTTTAGTTGAAGGACCATTGCTCAAATTTGATTAAAGTTGAGGGACCATTGCTACAATTTACTCAAAAATTAATAATATTTTAATACTAATTGACTAGACTTTGGACCAACTCATTTTTTTAAGAATGGAGATGCACTTGGCCAATAACTGTTTAATCAGGTCAATTATTATTCATTTGGATGGATTAAATGAACTTTGCCCAGCTTATTTTTTAGAGTAAATTGTAGCAATTGTCCCTCAACTTTAATCAAATTAGAGTAATAGTCCCTCAACTAAAAATCCATTACCATTGGTCCCTTAACTTATCAAAATGTGTAGTTATAGTCATTTTCATCAATTTCATCAAAATTTTGTCAAAATAAGTTATGTTTGAATAACCATTTATATAATTAGGGTCTCTCAACTCATCAAAGTATGTAATTATGGTCATTTTCGTCAACTACGTCAAAAAATTTGGCAAAACGAGTTATGTTGGAAGGACCATTGCTACAATTGGGTTAAAATTAAGGGATCATTTCTTCAGTGGAATTAAAGTTGAGGGACCAATGGTAATGAATTTTTAGTTGAGGGACCATATCCACACGTTTTGATGAGTTGAGAGACTAATGGTAATGAATTTTTACTTGATAGATCATTACTCCAATTGAGTTAAAATTAAGGGACCATAATTACAATTTACTCTATTTTTTAAGAGTGAACTAGCTCTAAAGTGGAATACGAACTATAATTCAAGGGCCATTAATATAATTTATCATTTTTAAATTCTAATTTTTGTCCCCCTTTCTTTTTCTCTCTATAATTTTCCCCGCTTTTCTTGGCGGCATTTTTATTGGTGGCTACAAAAAAATTCCTTCCCTCCCAACTTCTCCCGACCACCATCATATTTTTGCTATATAAACCTACATACTTCCTCCTTCCTCTCTTGAATTCTGAAAGCTCTGAGAACACACAACTACCAAAAAGCCAGAAATTCCAGCAACCATGGCAACCAACGGAGCCCCAACCTCCACCGGTCCCAAGCCCGTCGTCACCGACGAGGTCCAGAAGGTCTTCAAAAGCTTCGACGCCAACGGCGATGGCAAGATCTCCGTCAACGAGCTCGGCAACGTCCTCAAGGCCCTCGGCTCCAACGTATCCGGCGACGAGCTCAAGCGCGTCATGGTCGATCTCGACACCGACAACGATGGCTTCATTTGCCTCGACGAGTTCAACGCCTTCTGGGTCGCCGGCTCCAAGGACGGCGGCGCCGCTGAGCTCAAGGACGCCTTCGATCTCTACGACCAGGACCGCAACGGCCTCATCTCCACCAACGAACTCCACCTGGTGCTCAGCCGCCTCAACATGGCCTGCACGGTCGAGGATTGCAACCGGATGATCAAGTCCGTCGATACCGACGGCGACGGGAATGTGAATTTCGAGGAGTTTAAGAAGATGATGGGACACAGCGTCTCCACCAACTGAACCACCGCTAACGCCGCCGTCTAGTGCCGCCACAACGTAGTCGTCTCTCTCAATCTAGAAGCTGATTTTAAATCCGAACTCCATCCCTTGAAAGTTGACAAAGTTAGGGCTTAACTTTTGAAATATAGGGAAATAATATACGTGTAGATTAGATCATCAACTGGATGTGGATATCGAAAAATGGGATCTGATCTCATCCTTCTCTTTAATATGTGTAGTTTTTGTGATTATATTGTGGTTAATTTGCTCGAAATCGCATCACATTTCCCTCTATTTTCTGTTTGTTTCTCGAGAAAATCCTCTCTCGCTTGGACCCTTTTGGTTGAATGAATGTTATTGCGCTATTAATTTCCCTTTTGATTTGATTTGATTTGCTTTTTGAGAATATTGATGTGAAAATACGGGAAGAAATAAGTTAGTTTTTGGCGGCCGAAGGTGGTGGGCGGCGGCGGAGCTACCGAGCTAGTGTAGTAGTGGGGGTGGTGAGATGTAGCCGTCAATGGCGCAATGAGAAGGGGCGTTGACGAGTCAACTCTCAGACGGGGATTGGTGGGAGGTGCAACACGCGATGAACAGAGTTCAGACGTGGTTGGGCTGCCAAGTTGCCAAAACTTTAGGAATTATGACCCTACTCCTATATTCTATTGTATGGATTGAATTATGAGAACTTTAACAAAAAATTACAGATACCGTTTATTTTAACAAAAAATTATATTTTTATACTAAAAAATCAATTTTGGTACTATTTACTTTACCCTTTATTTTGTCATTATCGTTAAAACTCAAAGTTTTCAAGCTTTTTTCATTAGTTTTCCTTTGAATTATAAGATGCACCTGAATTCTTGACCGTTAGATTTTTATTCACACATTCAATGCTTTATTGTATTAATGCATGTCACACGCAGAAGTACAATAGAATTTTGGCTAAATATTTTGCTCTATCTTAAGAGAAATTCTTAGGTTTAATCGCTCAAGTCAAGTTGCCAATTCAAATAGAGTAAAAAAATTTGAGTAGAGGCAGTCAACTACGTCATTCATACGAAATATTTCACAAAAACATAATATAAGTTTATTTTGATCTTATTAAACTCTAGACATTCTTCTCGGTATGAAATTTGCCATAATTAAGTCTTCTCGAATCACAGACAAAAGAAATAGCCCCTCTGTACTACGATCCAAATCGAAAGGGAATTTTGTACCCATTCTCAAGCCTCTAATCCGTGAACCAAATTGATCGAAGTGGTTCCACTTCAAAGGATAGGTTTGATTTGCAAGTTGAGGTTGCAGTGCAACGAGAAATTTAAGCCTTACAGCAAAAATTACTGCGCAGGAGGGGGACCATTTTTAATGAATGTGGTCCTCTTTTTCTAAAAAAATATTGTAGTTTTCCTTGAAGCATCAACAATCCATTCTTCGGAGAAGTTACGAAGACATCATAATATTACCAAATTTGTTTTTTGGAACTTACTATTATTGATTGGAGAGAATTCCATATCTATATTCTACACAATTCATCTTATGTTTAATTCTCAATACCGATAAATCACATGATAACCGTCAGAAAGAGACTGAAATGTATCTATAAGTATTTCAAACATCCAAGAAAATGAACCATTGCGACTTGACCATTAGCTGGTCCATTTAAAAAAAAAACGAGAACTTGCCATTATTGATTTGGTATGAATGGAATTGGGGCTAACGTGGCCATCAATTTGGATGTATCTCCGCTTGCTCATCCACAGTAGGACACCAGCCAGGCAACCATTTCTTGATTCAACTAAATCAGTAGTGGAGCCAATGCGGGGGCATTGGGCTCCCTTGATCCCAATAGATTTGCAATTTATCCCTTTCAAAAATAATTTGACCCCTTTATCCCTTTCAATTTTCCAATCCTGCCCTCCCCTTTCTCTCACTATCAGTCTCGCCACTTCTCTCAGAACCCAGTCCACACCAGATCTAAAAGAAGTCATCATTCCCCCCATCAATCTCTCTTCTTCCTTTCCTCTTGCTTTGCCAAAGGAATTAACTTTAGGTGACTACTAGTCTACTGCTACTCTCATTTACTTTTCCCACATTAAAAAAAAACATATAATCTTAACCAATTCAATCATTTCAGCATTTTTTTCAGGATTTCCCAAATCGGACTTTTGTTTTTGGGTGCTTCATTTGTCTCCAATTCAATCTGTCAAAGGTACTTGTTGTTTCCCTTTCGGCCACTCTTTTCTTTGTTTCAGGGGGCTTCATTTGTATCCAATGCTCATTCTTTTATTTCGGCTTAATTCAGGAGAGCCATCCATGACCCTCAAGGTAATGACAAACAAAACATTAAGGCAGTGTTTGAATTCGGAATTGCTTGCTTTGCGTGATTAGTAATGGAAGCACAACTTTTCTGAGTTACAAGTAGCTCCGTTCTTTCTTATGGGAGCAAAGTATGGGCATCTTATAACATTTTGGAGGCTCTGTATGCTTGGTATGCCAAACTTCTAATCAACCAACTCTGTTGTCAAATCAATTGTTAACGCACTCCTTAATATATTCTGAAGCACTTGTTAATACCCTTTTTATTATTGGCACGTAGTTGCAGAGTCCACCTCTAATAAAGAGTTTTGCAGCAACTACGATGATTTTGTGTGACAAAATGATGTTAATTTTGTATGTCCGAATTGTAAATAAATAATCATTTTGGGTGGTTGCTGTCGCGGATGAAAGATTTTCCTTTCAATTCTTGTGGACAAAGGGAAATAAGTAAAACAATTCAGATAGGTTTGTGTCCGTTGTGTCCAATTGAAGCCCAAAAAGGGAATGGGCTTCAAGGCCTCAATCCATCGTTGTACCAAGTAAATGTAAATCTAATCACATGTAACATGTAACATGTCACATGAATATTAGTCTGTTGCCTCTTTTAGGTCTGACGGTTTGGTAGCCAAATTTGGTTAAGAGTATTTTTCTTGTTGAAGGTTGATATATTTTTGCACTGCAAACACCTTCGTTGAATTCTACGTGAAGTTCGTTTTCTTCGGCCGACACCTTTGTGGTCGCTAGTGACCTTTTTTAAGGAAATTGCTTGCTTTTTCGACAAAAAAAATATATAAAGAAAAAAAGACAACATGATGGACTCTCCGCATTAAAATTTAAAGGGAAAGCAATACAATTTTGAGGATTCGTGATGGACTTCTATGTGTTTCTTAATAGCAAATACTTTGAGTTGCGATGACTTCAATATCATTTTATGTTTTTAACTCCCAATTTACGAGAACACTTTCAATAGATTGAGAGCAACAACAAACGACTCTTCACTAAAACTACGACTTTGTATATTAGTTGAACAATTATTTCACTATAATTGAGATTTTTGTATAATTATTTCTCGCTAACAATATCTGTTGTAATTTGCGTAGAAGAAAAACTTGTGGTGAATTAAAGATTAAGTTTGTTTAGCGTGTGCTAATGACACGGTACTAACCTCGACAGCCTGCGGAGGCACTCATGATGTCGTTTTCAACGTTTTCACATGTAAAGAGACTCGGCACCCTCCAAAAGCAAATGAACAATCCCAAAAACCTATCTATCTATACATACATACATATATATATATACATACATACATACATATATATATATATATATATATATATATATATATATATTTCAACATAAACGTCTCTTCCTCCAGCTCTCCTTTTGCTTTTGCTTCTTTCCAATTTGTTTCGAAGTGTTCTTAACTTGTTCTCAGTTGTGGTTAATTGGATCATCAAGTAATTAATTAGCATAGATGTTGATGGGTGATTCGATCGATGAAGAGTGTGATTACTTGTTTAAGGCAGTTTTGATCGGAGACTCCGGAGTTGGCAAATCAAATTTGCTGTCCAGGTTTTCCAAAGACGAATTCCGGTTGGATTCCAAGCCCACCATCGGCGTCGAATTCGCTTACCGGAATATCAAGGTCGCTGATAAACTTGTCAAGGCTCAAATTTGGGACACTGCCGGCCAAGAAAGGTATGCCTGCCTCGCTTCATCTTCTTAATTTTGATCGTGTTTCATTTGATCATAGTCTTTGGGAGAAACTCTCGTCTTCTGTTGTTGGTTTAGAACATCATGCGTCATTCTGAAGGCGTATGTTAGTCAACTCTCATTTTATTCGCTTCCGTGCGCTTTCATGTTTATGTTTTATATCTGTTTATATCCGTTATATAGATAGAACCACATTCTTCGTCCCGTTTATGTAGAATTATTATTAAGTTTAATATTATTTTCATATGTGATTAGTTTTCCCTAATTTTCATATGTTCTTCTCTTTTGTTTTTTTAATTTTATTATATTTTTTTAGTTTAAAGATGTTTTCAAGTTTGTCCATCTTTTGAAGCAACTGGATTATGGATACGAACACAATTGTCCAACCGTGCCTTCCCTTTCATGATTTGGTCCCATTAACGTCTAAAGTTGTAATTATACTCCTAAGTGGGGCCCTTTTACATACAAAATACAAATTCAAATTTAATTGAGAAGATAAATGATAAAGAGACTCTTTCAAAGTGAGATTCTTATTGGACTCTTTGCCTCAAAGTTTGGAGTTCGTTAATCTGATTCCTTTTATTTGTTTTGTTGGACGTCTTTGTCATTACGTGATTAATCATTGGGTGGCCGTTAATTAGGGTAAAAATGGCCGCCAATTAGGGTATTTTACCCTAGTTTCATTCTTTTTATTTTTTATTTTTAAGGGAACCTGCTAATAGTTTCATGCTTTTCACTTGTTCTAGTTGACTTTTTTAATCTTAGATTCTTGAGGTGGTAGAAAAAGTTTCTTCATCGAACAATTTATACGTAACGTACTTAAATTAAATAAAACAGACCATGCAATTGATATGCATTAATAAAACAAGATATTATGAGTGTGATCTACACCATGCGAATTTTCGAAATTCAGGGTTTGTTTGGGATTGTTTTTTAATAGGGTTAAAAACATTTTTTGATGTAATAGACTTGTAGTTTAAGTGATTAAAAATATTTATCTCTTGCACATAAAATCGTAGATTTGATTCCTCTTCCACTAATATTTGCCTGCAAAATAATATACCCTTTTGACTGCGTTGAAAAACTTGTAAGTGTTTATAGACTATATTAGGTGCTTTTTCAGGATGCATTTACAAGAAGCATTGAAAGCACTTCTTATAAAAGCGCTTATAAGCATAATTATTTCCTACACAAACACACTTTTGCAATAGTTAACGTTTTTGTTATAAGTACTAATTACTAAAGTCAAAAGCAATATGGACTAGTGGCAGTTAATTATACTTTGATTTATCAATGCAGATTTAGAGCAATCACGAGCTCATACTACCGTGGGGCGCTCGGCGCCATTCTAGTGTACGACATTTCCGCGAGACAATCCTTCGAAAACGTGAGAAACTGGCTGCGGGAGCTTCGCGAATTTGGCAACTCCGACATGGTCATCGTCCTCGTCGGAAATAAGTCGGACTTGAGCCAGTCTCGACAGGTCGACGAGGAAGAAGGCAAAAGTTTAGCAGAGGCAGAAGGCTTGTGCTTCATGGAAACTTCTGCGTTAGAGAATGTGAACGTGGAGCAAGTGTTTTTGGATATGGTTTATAAGATTCATGAAATTACTAGGCAAAAGATTTTGGAAGCAAAAGTGGAAGAAACGAGTGCTGCGAGTACAAGTCTTGGTGGTGCGACAGAAACCATCCATATTGGTGATGATCTTGAAGTTACGGCGACTAAAAAATCTAGTTATTGTTGCTCAAATTAGTTCGTGTAACCTAAAAGTATACATGAATTTTCACGATATATGTATTATGTGCTGCCAGCCGTCATCGATAGTGTGCAATGTAAATTCTTACATGAATTTTGGTGGTAGATGCCACGCGTAAGTCATTTCAGTTCGAGGTTCATGTATGTTATGACGCTGGTTGCAAGAGTAACCAATCTCCCTCTAAACTTTTTGAAAAACAAAACAAAAAACTCTCGGATATTCTCATGATATGTGTATGAAGTAATATGAATAATTTTAGTCGGGCTGACTGCCGGCTGAGTAATCCAATCCGATCCTAAGAATCCAAACACCGGAATGCCCACCCCTAATTTGTCTAGTTGGGCTAACCGTTTGATAGACCATAAACCGCAACCAAACAGCCCAAAACCACCAAACGTTCGCTGGTCGGTCGTTGTCCAACACGCGCGTTAAGTCTCCCTCCCGCTTTAATCACATCGCTTTAACCCAGCGGGACCCACAAAACAATCTGTACCGGTCACCCGAAATCTAACGGCCCAAGAACTCACACCGTCACCCGCCCGTCACTCGGGCATTCTCATTTCTCACCCTCCTCCCTTCTCCTCCTTTCATCACATCGTTCGTTCTCCCGTCCCATTTCCCCCGCCTCCTTCCTCCTCCTCCTCCTCCGTCCTCTTCCTTCATCCTCTGCAAATACAAAACGCTGCGTTTCGCCAACAATGCACTTCGATTCTCTCCAGAAACACTAAACGCTGCGTTTTCGCTGAACTAGAACGACCATGGCGAACTGGATCTCCTCCAAGCTCAGAGCCGCCGAAACTCTCCTCCAACAGGTTCAATTCTTCTCCTCCTTCTCCTCCCAATCCAGAAAACTATGGAATTAAACAAAAATTAAATTAAAAAAAGTCCTAATTTTTTTCTAATTCTTCGAAACAAACTAGTCGATCTGCAATTTTTTATTTTAATTGTGTTATTTAATTTTTGAGTTCTATCTGTTTGGATTAGTAATGTAAAATCCGTGTGATTGTGAAACGGACGGTTCAGATTGATCAGCAAGCTGCGGAGTCGCTGCGGAAAAACGAGAAGCAGATCGCCGACGAATTGAGCTTGGAGACTCCGACGAAAGCGGGGGGCAGTGTGCCTTTGAAGGATCAGTTGAAGAAGAAAACCCTAGAAAATCAAATTAGTGATTATCGCGGAAAATTAACCAGCGATCCGTGCTTAAACATTGTTAGTAACAAGATTAACATTAATGATGATGGTAGTAGTGGTAACAGTAATAGGGATAGAGAGATTGTTGGAATTCCGAAACCAAGGAAGAGTCTTACTGATAGTGACTGGACTCAACTCCTTAGTAGTACACCGAATCGGGGAACTACTTCTGCCGCGAGTCGCGGCAGTGGTTTCCCCGGGGTTCGTAGTTTGAGGAAGGATGGTAGGAGGCAGGGGAGTGCCAGTTCCACATCGAGTTTGTCGGTTTTGGAGGTTAAGAGGAGTCAAAAGAGTGGTGGTAATAATATTGTGAAGACCCCGCGGAGGGCAAGTGGTGGGGAAGGAAGTAAGTTGAATGCGAAAGTAAGTGATGGGGAGGAATCTGGCTTTTCTGTTTCAGATACACCGGAGAGGTCTTCTCGTGTTGAGTTGAAGCGTGATGGTAAGATTTTGGAAGGACGACAGTTGGATTTTAGAGATGTGGGTTTAAACACTTTGGAGGAAATAAAAGATAAGGGAAATGAGGAAAATGGTGAGCGTTTTGATATTAAGGAGCTTTCTTCCGAGGGTAATTTACATTCAGTAAAGAAGGACGATTGGGGTTCTAATAAGAAGTTAGAAGGGGCGAATGTGGGTGATCGGTTGAGAAAGAATGAGTCTAATGAAGCGTCTAGAAGTTCTACCTCTGATGATTTAAGGCGAGGTTTTACTTCGGTAACTGATGGGAGCTCCGAGTCGGACACAGACTCAGGTTCAAGTTCTGATTCCGAGAGTGAGCGTGAAAAGGAGGAAAGGAGAAAGAAGAGGGAGAAGATTCTGGCGGAGAAAGCGGCAGCTAAAGCTGTGGAGGCCATCAAAGAGAGGGAAAATATGGTTGCCAGATTGGAGGGCGAGAAGCAGAGCTTGGAAAAAATACTTGAAAAGCAAGTGAAACAACAAGCACAAGAGGTAAGAATAAGATTATTAGGATTTTGTTCTTATCATTCTTCCTAGGTTGGCTGCAGTAATCCTATTTTTTTCATTGTTGTTTTATCTAAGGAAATTGAACTTCTTTATCGTATTGCGCAAAATGTTATTACTTAAATTTACCTTCTGCTTCAGGCTTCAAAGCTGCAAATGACTATGATGGAAACCATGGAAGCTGCTGATTTAGAAAAGCAGAAACATAACAACACTAGAATGGAAGCCTTTGTGCGGTTGGCTAA